CTACGCCAAAGTATGTTATGCACAAGCGCACCACTGAGCTGACACCTAGATGTTCCATACCGAAAGCAGTAGCATTACCATCTGATAAAACACATTCGTTCAAGCCGCAGGAAGATGAGATAAAAAGGAATAGAAGCACGCCTTGCTTAACAAACAAACTGAGTTCAGAATCTCATCAAGATTTGTATAACCCACAATCGAACGTGTCTTTGACGACACAGACCCGCCATAAGTTTTGCGACACGGCATCAAATGTAGTTCCTGTGACTCCACAGTGTCATACTATAATGTGTGACCGTATTCAATCTGATGTTACGTTTTTATCCACTGAAAGAAATCATGTGCATAAATACTTTGATTCTATTTCTGATTTATCTAATGATGATGATGTAAGTAGTGAGAGCGATGGTTATTTCTCAGTTCCTAGTTCTTGTCAAAATGTATCCCAAACAATTGAATAAATCCATCATATGTGATATACATTATAATCTTTTGATTTGTTCTAATTGTTTTCTTAAATACCAACAACTGTATCAAGTAAAACATATATAAGTTTTGATGAAAAAAGGTCGGTTCGATTGAAGTGGTTTTTATAAGATGCTGCATACTGTAGTTAAATCCGATTTCGCATTAATTTTTTTAAGGAATTAAGAAAAGATATTACCTTCACCATCAATCACTAGCTTACATGCAGCACAACGCAATATTCACAGCTAAACATGCTGAATGGCCAGCTGTGATTGGTTGATAGACATTAGGCCTATTTAGTGCACATACCAACACTCGAATAACCCACAAAATCGAAATATAAAGAGCAGAATCAGTACACTCCAACGTAGAAGAGAAATGGTTAATGAAACACAAGTTAAAGTTTAGTCTCTACGCAGCTATTTGTTATATTGACAGTTAATAACATTTTGATTTAAAGGTGACCTAACCTTATGTCGCCCTTGCGACTGGACTTAACCCACCTCAACAGACATCAACCAGTGGCACATCAGGATTACGTAATAGAGGGGGCCCACTTAGGGACTTTCATAGATAAATGGTCCACCCACCTCAGTCTAACCACGGTGAAGAAATTTTATAATTATGGCACCTATAGATGGCCGGAAATGGCACTCTCAGACTTAATGTCGAATACCATTTTCTTTTTTGCTCCAATATTTATATTTTTTTTAAATTTAGGGAGGGGCGCCGGTCCGGCTACACCTCCCCATCACTTCCGCCTATGCCAACTGATCTTTGGTAACTGAACTATGAGTTGCTTATGATTATGAAGTCAGTCTTAACAGAGCCACTTCAAAACGATGAGATTAATAAGAAGACATTTGATCGTTTTAAGAGCGATATTGTTGACATTAATTAAGTAGACTTGTTAATGCTCATTCTTAATTTAATCCTATGATATATTTCAGCGATTAAAGATGTTTTTAAATTTGTTTACAAACGATCATGGATTAGGCCTACTAGTTGAATAAATCAAAACAGTTCAAGAATAATGGGTTTAGTATACATCAAGACGCTATAGAATTTTTAATCAATACGAAATGAATTCGACCGACTGATGATGTAGAAAACTAAACAATAATTTCTTAGCAGCATACTAATAATAATAATAATAAAATAATAAATAATAATAATAATAAAGTATTTATATAGCGCCTAATAGATCACAGATCCCTCTAAGCGCTTAACCGGCGATGTTATTACCCCTGGTTCAAGCAATTTAATGCCGAACAGACTAATACATGCAATGCCACATCATCCTACCAGGTACCCGTTTATATTCCTGGGTGGAGAGAGGCAAATGTAAGTAAAGTGCCTTGCCCACCCAGCTAGCAAAGCGACGTTGGCCCAACGTTGGTAAACGTCGGGGTCGGATATTTAAGGTTGGTACGACGTTGGTGTTTGGTTGCAAAATTTGGTCGGAGAGGTAACGTCAAACCAACATTGGAATTTCACGTTGGCCCAACGTATGAATATATTTGTCGATGTCACCAACCCACTTTTTCTACAGGGGGGCCTGGCCTCCCCATTTTTTGACTGTTTCCATCACCAGTGACAAACATTTTACGAACGCTGCAATGTCATTATTATTATTATTATTATTATTATTATTATTATTATTATTATTATTATTATTATTATTATTATTATTATTATTATTATTATTATTTTATTATTATTATTATTATTATTAGGCTTATTATTATTATTATTATTATTATTATTATTATTATTATTTCGTGCTTACACCTTATTTTTCGAGCTTACACCTTTATTTGCGCCTTATAAATTGACCTATTGTTATTATAAAATATAGATTTTTTTATTTTTTAACCAAATGTTGATTGACGTCTGTATACGTGCGTCTGTAAAGTTTCCTTGAAACCCACCATCGAGCATAAAGAAAAAATCGCCTGCATTCGTGAATTCTGTATTTAGGCATATGGGTGCGGGGGGGGGGGTGTAGGCACTCTTAATGGAGCGACGTTCTAATTCTCTTTATGCTAACCACGAAGATGTATAGTAAGTGTAACTGACTGGCTTACAGTAAACCTTCAAACTAGCCTAATATAACCACTTTATCGAGTAAAAACAAATTCTTTCGAATAAAAAAATCTTTCGCTTGATATTAGGAATTAATCATTTGTGACTGATAGGCTATGTACAATTTCCGGCCATCTAGCTAGATGCCATAATCACACATTTTCTTACTTGATCCCCAACCATGGTGGGGCTGAGGTAGTATAGATCTTCTATATGTGAAATTACCCTCCATGAGCCCTTCTATTTAGAATACCTGGATCCGCCACTGGAAATTACAACAAATATGTAATCATATTACAGTAGCTTGATGCCTATAAAATAACTTATAAAATTCACCGTAAAATACTCCATAAAATATCCGTAGCTTCCTCTGGACCCCCACCGGGGCCCTTGGTGGCTCTCTGGCCCCCAGCCTACACGCTCGCATACTGTACCTTATGAAATGGGCCCCCCGGACCTTATGAAATGGTCCCCCCACCCCACTTTCAAAAACGTTCCGCCGCCGTTGCCAACGGTGATACCCAACATCTATTTCAAACGTTTACCGATGTTGGGGCCAACAAGGTACTTTGACGTTGCGACAACGTCTATAATTATATATTATGGAGGTTGGTTACAACCGTAAATTTGGCCGACGTTGGTTAGAGGTTGTAATTATAGACGTGGTCGCAACGTCACAGTACCCTATTGGCCCGACGTCGGTAAACGTTTGAAATGGAGGTTGGTAAGAAGTTGTAATAAATATTAGGATGTGATTATAGACGTTGTCCCAACGCCACGGTGTTTTGGTGGCCCGACGTCCGTAAACGTTAGTGGAGGTTGGTGACAACAGTTGGGCCGGCGTTGGTTAGAGGTTGTAAATTTCAAACGTCGGGCCAAAAAAAAAAAAAATTGTTTCGTGTGTGAATCGAACACACAACCACCAGGTTTTGCTATTCATTATCCATCATCAACTAAACTACCTTAAAAAAAATTTAAAAAATTTAAAAAAATTTTAAATAAAAAAATGGTTTGTGTGAGAACCGAACACACAACCTCCAGGTTTGCTATTCATTATCCACCATCAACTAAACTGCCTTTAAAGAAGAAAAAAAAAAAGTTCGTGTGGGAATTGAACACACAACCACCAGGTTTCCCGTAACATGATTAGTCTATTTTTTTTTGTCTAATTTGCATAATGAATTTTTCAAATATTTTTGTATATTTAATAAAAAGTGCGTAAGTTATGGAGATGGTAACAATCAAAAATCGATTATAAATTTAATTCTACATTTTTAGACAAAAAAGTAAACCCTCTTGGCCCATGGCCCATTTTTGACACCATGAACATGCATAATATTAACCTGTAGTGTATATATACGAAGAATTATTTTATAGTAGGATCAGAGACTAACTGGTACTTGGTGTGGTACTAGGTTTATCGCATTTATGGCTTAGGGGCCGCGGTTTACCTCCCTCCGTTTAGTCATGCTGGATCAGGGTTAGTAAACTCAGCGATCGTGGGTTCGATTCCCACACGGGGCAAGTTTTTTTTTCTTTTTTTTTTTTAATTTTTTTTTTTTTTAAAGGTCGTGGGTTCGATTCCCACACGAACCAGTTTTTTTTTTTCTTAAGGCAGTTTAGTTGATGGTGGATAATGAATAGCAAACATGGAGGTTGTGTGTTCGACTCCCACACGAACCAATTTTTTTTTCTTTAAGGCAGTTTAGTTGATGGTGGATAATGAATGCATTGTACTCGTTGATGACGTCGCGAAATAACAACAACGTTTCATGTCCGGGCCTAGGCCGTCATGGAAGCTCACTGGCTCCTGTGTAATTCATGTTGAGCCAACTGCAGACGAAAAGGTTACAATCTTTTCAGAGATAAGCTGGAAGAAAGTTTTAGACAGTGCCCACATCTTTATATTTGCACAAGTAATTAAATTTGATTATTGAGCAGATTAATCACACTGATAAACAATTGTACTACATTCGGCTGATGCATAAGGACACAAGCATTGCGACGAGCGCCGGTTTCGAACTCTCGATCTCACAACACCTTACACGCTGCACCACACGCTCCCATTATTAATTGATCATCATCCTCATCATCCTCATCAGGGTGGTGCCAGCGGTTGGGGCGGGGGTGGATTTTCCTCCTCCCCGTCCTCGTCTGGACTTCCGACGCCACAACGAAGTCGTTGGATCAAAAATATTAATTTGCCTATCCAAAACGTTATTTTGATTGAGGCTCTAGTCGGCCCCTTGGCTCGGACACCGCTGTAGAACATGTCGGCAAATTTCTGTAGCCAACACTGCTCCTCATTATCCTCTTCCTCCTCCTCATCATCATCATCCTTATCATCAACCTAATCATCATCATCCTCATCATCATTCTCATTATTATCATCATCATCCTCATCATCATCAATGGATTCAGGAAAACCAATAATCAAATTACTAATGTCAAAGATCAGTAAGCATTTATTCATACCATCATCCTTATAATGATTCTGCCTTAACAACAATTTAAATAAATACTTAATTAATTTCGCCTTAAAAATTACAAATAGATACAATAACGTTGTAAATATTTACAGAACCTTAATCTACACACACAAATTTTTATGAAAATAAACTGCGAATTTATCTGGAAGTCATTTACACCTCCGGGTCATAGGTATTGTTTCTAAAATGGCTGAAGGGTTAACGTCGAAAAAAAAGATAAGCCTAGGCCATCTAAGATAAAGTTGTGCAACAGCGAAAGAATTATTGTTTTAAGTTTTGGTTTATTTTATCATAAAAGTGGCGGCGTACTTTTGATTATTTGTTTGAACAAAATATCTAGCAAAACTAATAAATAAGCGACTAAATGCCCTTGCTAAAGACACGAAATTATATGATCGTTTATTGCGGTTGTGACTACGTCATTAAGTAAGGTATGTTTATGATTATTACATGTACCGATGATTCATTGATTGATTGATTTAAAACGTTTTATAGAGTTAAAAGTGTTTAATGCAATAAATATGAAATATGATTCGTTAAATTTTAGCGGTGTTTTATTTTTTTTTTTAACCAGCGCAAGCGTGAATTTTTCCAAAGAATAACCACATTAAGACGACTCCTAGCAATATTAGAAGGAACTCGGCTCATATCTGGAGCTTATTTTTTGAACCTTGGGAATGGAGGAGCATCGATAACGGAGCAGACACAACAGCTCCTGATGGCCACCCACTGGACGGCCAAATTGGGCCTCTGGTTCCCGTTGTTGTCATGCGAACATCCAGTGACCACCAGCGCGCGTTCCCAGACAAATTTCGGTACGCAGAGACCGTTTGCTCCATCGCAATATTCAGTGCTGTAAAATACACATAAAAAATATATATTAAAATCTTGTTTCTATTTAATTCATAAATATTATGTACACAAATGAAATAGTACTGTATTTACAATAATAAACTAAAGAATTGAACGATATTATGAGTTTGAAATGAATTTAAGAAGAAAATAATAATAGAAAATAAAAAAAGAGAATACTACAGTTTAGTAAATAATAGCTCTATGGTAAATACCGTAATAAGTCCGCGCTACTTACTCGCATGTCGTCTCATAGAATGTCTGCTTGATCGACGGTACGTACAATCGACCACTGCCGACTTGTAGAATCTTTACGTAGTATCCTTCGGTATTGAGTGCCCAATCTTGGCGGACTAATTCACGGGTTTGTGGACACACTGGTGAGAAGCTTACTTTGATCGGTAAGCCATTGTTGTAATAATAATCGTATGGACTTGGATAACCACCTTGTCCTGCAGCGCCACCAGCGTTACCACCATCTCCGCCATTTCCGCCGTTTCCGTTACTTCCAGCATCACCTCCATCGCCTCCGTCACCACCACCGCCAGCTCCATCTCCGCCTGCACCACCATCACCTCCGTTACCTTCCACATAACCACCGTCACCGCCATCGCCACCTTCTCCACCAACTCCAGCGACTGAACCTCCTGTTCCGCCATCTCCACCGTTACCGCCTTCACCGACTCCTCCTGCGTCGCCACCGTCTCCCCCAGCTCCGCCGTCGCCGAATCCACCACCGTTCCCACCGATTCCCCCATTACCACCGTCACCAACGACTGCACCAGCATCTCCTCCATTACCTCCGTCACCCCCTTGGCCACCTAAGTCATCTTCTACTTTATAACCATATAGTGTCCTGCGAATGTATAAATTATTATTACTATTATTATTATTATTATTATTATTATTATTATTATTATTATTATTATTATTATTATTATTATTATTATACGATAATGTAGTATTATTAACGATATTTTATTATTATCCATCACTTTTTATTATAAATAAAACTTACCCGATGCGGTTTGGATCTAAAAATGAAGAAGGTCTAATGGGCTTAAGTACGTGCTGAAATACATTGAGAACTTCATTGATCTGTGCTGGATTCCAAGAGTCAGCTCTAAACATTGAAAAAAAAATAAGAAAACAACGACATTATATATCTTTGTTATATATCCATGTTAAAAATGCATGATTTTAAAGAGGTTTTCGTGAGTGACCTTACAATTACGGTAATTTTGTGCCTTTACATGCAACAACTACAAAGGGTCACATTTAAACGTTTATTAATTGAAATAATTTTCGGTTTTAGTTGAAAACTAACTCATTGAAATATACAAATTAATGTATATATATATATAGGCATATATTTCTGGCTGTTTACTTAAGTTTACTTTTTAGCTGTTGCTTATCATTTTTGTATCTCTACTGAGATCCAGCCATTGTTTCCCACAGCACTGTTG